CAACCAAGTATTATAAATTAACGAAAGATACTGCCCTTGGAACGAGCGATAATGCAAACGACGTTGAAATATCGCATGTCACAGTTCGAAGAATTATGAAAAAAAAAAAAAAAAAACGAACTTAACTTTCGTTATGTAAGAAAAGTCGAAGTTTTATAGGAAGAAAATATATAATCACTTTCTATCAATTTCAGAATATTTTACCTGTTATTATATTTTTTATTAAAATCAATAAGCTCTCTCTTGACTGCTCTAATTAATGTTATAGTTGATACGCCCAAGTGCCATCCAACACATTACACGAATTATTGAGAGTAAGATGCAGCATAATGTGCATTTAACGCTCATATTTTCTGATCCTTATGAACTAATAATACGATAAGGATTTACACGATACAGCGACGTATGTTTATGTTTTAAGCTTTAACAACGTTCGTTTAACTCCGATGGCAGATATCGCTAATTAAATCATCAGACTAAAGGAAAACGTCCGGGTCGGACGAGCCGGCGGCCTTTAAATGATATCATCGTAGAAAGAAACACATAAAGTGCGAAACGTCGTTCATTTTCGGAAGTTGATAGATTTTTTGTTAGTAATCGCGAACTCCGATTGGAAAAGTAAAGATTCTATACAAAGAAATAAATGCTGCAGAAAAGAAGTTCTTTCGTATAGAATTCTTCGTATGGAGAATCCATTTCCAAGAAAATCAGTTTTCACGCTCGGCTTAACAATCTTCTTACTCTAATCTTCTAAGCTCAAATAATTTTTAATTTCTTGGCAAGACGAATTATTCAACAGTAACTATTACAGGAGTAGCTAGCTAAAAATAAATAAAATAAATTGGATATTCTGTTATAGTAAACAATAATTGAAATTGAATAAATATTTTATTGTTTACAAAATATTAAGGTCGTATATATTACCTTAAACAAGGTATTATATTTTTGTTCATAACCTGGCAAAAAGAACCGTTATTAAAACGAGCACGTCAATCTATGGCACGATGCCATAGATTGAAAAGTTATGCAAGCTACATATATTTAAAAAAAATAGAAAAAAGTTATTCTAAAAATACACGATAATCTGAATGAATTTAACAGAAGAAACATTTTGTAATTGTATAAATACGTACATGTACGATGTTATATATAATAATTAGAGATGCTTTTATTGATTTTTTGAGAGATTACGAAAATATTTACGGTCAGAGCACAAAGAATCTTGGACCTTACAAAATTGATTTCAAAAATTCGATAAAAGTAAAATAAAATTCACAATTATTCATGCAATGCTATTTCATCGAGGTGAGTGGGAGAATCCAGCGTGCAAATTTTAATACACAAAATAGTGTGTCACGGGGGAAATCTTATGCATAAATTTCACAGAAAAAGCTCGCTCCGGAAGCTCAAAACAGTAGCTTGCGATATCCCGATGGAATAGAACTGGAGGATCGCTGATCCATCATCGATTCAACGGTAATTGTAACACGAATTCTGCTTATGTTATGTGAGCGGTTCGTGTGCTCGCGAATTAAGTCTGATAAACGTGACTCCGTCGTATTTGATATCGCCTTTGTTATCGAGTATTATTATATACTTAACACTATACAGCGAAGAATAAGACTAAGAGTCTGCGAAAATAATAAATTTTCGTTAACAGAAGTAGAATGTATTCAATTAGTTGACAATTTTTTAAAATTTCTTTCCACATTATATCACATTGTTTTAATTTAAATATTAAGTAAACAATAATCATAAAGTTATGATGTGTATACATACAATCGTATACAAACATATAATTAACAATTATACAATAAAAATTACAAAAAATAATTACAATATATTACACAGTGATAATATATTATACAGTGATAATATATTTCTAATTGTAAATAATTATGCAATATTATTTCCGATCTATCTTCAATTGGTAAAGATAATTTTAAAAAATTTTAATAAAGAATCAAGAATATATTATCTCTAATTATAATAAATTTTTAAATATTTATTTTAAATATTAATTTTAAAATAATTATGTAAATATCGAGTCCATCTTACAAATGAATATAATCTTATAACTGAATATAAACTTTACTAGTCACTGTAATAGTGACTATCTTTTTTGATCCAAAAGTTTCAATGGATATACGAACGTTATATCTTATGTAAGTAAATTCGTGTATAGCTAGAAAGCTGTTACGATTCTGCGAATCGTCCTTTGATAGCTGATCAAATTTACCATACAATCATCACAGGAGAATCTGCATCACAGTGAGAACAGAGCAAAGGGAAAATCGTTAAGTAGTATAAGTAAACCGAAACTATCCACTGACGACTGATTCTAGCCTACAATCTCGATTGACGCTAAATGTGATTAAATACACTTTCTTTCTCTGTCTATCGCGTTGTTCTCATAAAGTGCAATAAAAGTCATTAGAGACAAAGTAATGAGTTTTTAATTTCAAATTTTCTTAGCAAAAGGATAACTTCAAAAAATCAAAATAAATTAATTTTTCGTTAAAAAATTAAATTGAATCGACCGAGCGTCGTGCATAGATGCCTTTCATGTTTAACTTACATTAAACGTTCAATATTAAAATCTCGCGTTAAGGTCCATTTAAATTAATAAAAAAAATTTCTTATCTATCTGTATTCCCCAGTTTATCAGACAATATTTGATTCATTAAAATGAAATATCATCATAATATCAAACTTTTACTAAAGGAGTAAAGAGATTTCATTTTTCCGAAAGAGAGACGACCGACGCGACGTGACCTATTCAGTATCTAAAAAAAGACTTATTCAGCAAAGTTTCTTTCCCCATGATTGCGATCTTGATGTCATCGACTGCAAGAATGAGCAACAATGATGCTGAAAAATTGCACTTAGAGAACTTCGAAAATTCCTAATATTTAAAAAAAAAACTTCTTTTTCGCGGAAATAGTCTTTAACTACACAAATTAGATAATAAATTTTTATATATTTTTCGCCTGATTGCTTTACGGTGAGACTTTGAAATTTGATTTTACGGAAATAAACAATGCGATCTCCAATTGGAGAAGCTCGTTAACGTTTGTTCTAAAGCAATTCCCAAATAATTCTTAATCGCGCCAAGGTGATTCGATGTCAAAACGCAAGAATAGATCAATGAGATAAAGAGTTAACGGATCGAATTTGTCGGTTCAGAAAAAAAATAGATTTCGATCTGAAAGAGAGAAAGAGAGACAGACTAGCTGGACGCGATGACGCGAACGTACGCATAGTATTTCGGCGGCCCGTAGGTACACGCGTCATCTCGACCGACGATGACGAAGATGTTCTGAGGCGACGCTCGTTCGCACCGAAAACCCACGGAGATGGTCGCGCATAGCGATCGACGGACTCTCTCGCCGCGGTTACTTTCTCCTCGTGGAGAAAAGGCAAACCGGGCGCGCGGATAATTGCGCGAGCGAGAACCGAGAACGGTGCGATCGTTCGTTCGCTTATTCCATCGTTCACGGACGTAGGTAGGTTAACTCAGGTGGAGGTTAACCTCACTCCGCGCCGGAAAAGCGAAGCGGGTGCACGAGGGTCGCGGACAGGTCGGACAGCGCGCGGTATGAAGACAAGGGGAAGAGGGGGGAGGGGGCAGAGGGGGGAGAAGTGCGCGACGGAGCCTTTTATTTTATTTGTGTCGCGAAAGAGAACGAGAAGAGAGAGAGAGAGAGAGAGAGAGAGAGAGAAACAGAGAGAGACAGAGGACAGACTTACCCCATAAACCAGTCCACGGTATCGCGGAGATACTCGGGTAACCTATCCAGCTTGGATGATTTTCGTGTGGATCACCGTCGTGAGGAAAGCAGCGCGCGCGATAGACGGGAAAACAAAGTGTAAATCTCCTCCTTCCCTTTCTCTCACTCTTTCTCCACAGTATTAGCACCACGGTAGTAGTCAGGCGGTAGTAGGCAGCTAGCGGCAGCAGCAGCAGCAGCAGCAGCATCGGCGGCAGCGGCGGCGGCGGCAGCAGCAGCGGCGGCGGCGGCGCGCGTTTCGCGATCTCGTGAAATCTAACATGGCGCGGCTCTATTGTCACCTGTTCCCGTCATGCCCCGTTGGCCACCGAAGCACATATCGCGGCCGATTCGTCCGCGACTGCTTGCCGTTACTCAACGTCGTGATCGCGCTCGCCCTCCTCGACAATTGGCCTCGAACAGTCTCGAGTGCTTCGCTCACTTTGCTGCTAGTCTAGCTAGCTGGTGTCACGCAACGCGAAGACCGCGAAGGCGCACGAGAATCACTCCTGTGTAACCACAACGGCACAGTCACCCCTCCGCACGAATTTATCGAATCTCCGCGACCTGCGATGCGCACAGCTGATCGCCGTGACGTGAACACGCGCGCCTCTGCACGGCCAATACTCGTACTATGTCGGTCGGCCATAGGTGACAGCACTTGCCAAGCGCGGCTGGAATTCGCGATTTCTCGCTCTCCCGCTAATGAGACTCAGGATGGAGCTGTATATTTCAAGAGATAGTTGTTAAATTCTTTATAACTGAATTTAGCTGAATTTCTTCTTTTTTTCTTTTTGTATTGGAAGAAAAAGAGAAAAGCTAAACTGCATGCAATATTTTACATTATATAAGCAATACAAAATTTGTAAATTATATAATTATAAATATACGTATATAGGCTTCGATAAATTATTTATATAGATAACAAATAAATGTATATTATTATATTTTACACATAAACGCACAACCTTGTATTTTCGTATCTTTCGAGAATATTTATTTCGAGATTGTAGACATAGCACGTTATCAAACGATTATAATCAAAATAGCTATGTAGTTCACGTTTTATCCATACAGAGGCGTTAATGATCTTTAGTTTCTAGGGTTTCTAGGGATCATCTATAATACGTTTATGCTGCCACCCTAGGGACCTTTATTACATTCGCTATCGAACTGCCATCTATCAATATGCAATGATGCCAATGACGCACTTCCTGTTCCTGCGCCGCACATTTCACGTTCCATTTCTTTCCGGTATCAGTTTCTGAGAACATTGGTTGTGTCCTGTTCGTTCTTTTTGTAATAAAATGACGTGAGTATCTAATCCTATCAAATAATTGCGATCACATGCATAAAGTTTGTCATTTTGCTACGAATAAATGCATTAAACGATAATTATTAACGAAGATATATTATTTTTGGAATATTTTCTAATATAATGCAAGTATTGAAATGCAAATATATAATCATTAATGTGACATTGAAAACCTAAAAACTGTAAATTGTTTTGTTCTGATGTAAATAAATGCAGCACTAATTTTTTAAAGATTTTATGATGAAAAAAATTGCCAAAATTATCAAGTTTTTCGTACAAAAGAATTTTTGGACTAGCAAAAAGATGACCGTGCACGTGCATTTTATTTCGTTCCGATTGCAGATCGAAGGTCTCCCGCGACACTCTTTATGAGTGCGTAAATGCTGTGCTCCAAAACTCGCAGGATAAGAAAAGAAACTTCTTGGAAACTATAGAACTACAGATCGGTTTAAAGAACTATGATCCACAGAAGGACAAGCGTTTCTCAGGCACCGTCAAGTATGTTTCTACCTGACTTTGAGGCATTTTTTAAATCTTAATATCATATTCTTTATTGAGAATATAAAAATTGCTTCATATAATGTCAGGGAGCTAGATTTTATCTAGCGGACCTGCACCCAGGGTCTTAAATTAATTGGGGAGGTATTTATACCGTTATTTAAATTATATAGGATCATGATCCTATTGGTAAGTTATTATTCTTGGAACATCATCCTTAGTGAAGGAAGAAATGAAATAGAGAATATTTGAAATATGAAATATTTTTTAAGAATATTACAAATTCTATTTGAAAGTCAATAAACATGTATAACAAATAATTATTTACATATGTTTGTATATCATTTTTACAATTAAAGTTTATTGAGTCGCCAGTGTTCTATGATGTTTTATTTATTGCATGTATTATCTGAGGAATTTGTGTAGTAAATTATTTAAATCTGAGAACATTGGAACTTAGATACTGCTATTTTTTCATATAATTGTGTATATAATATGAAAATTTATTATTCTAACGATGTGATTTTATAATAAAGATGAATATTGCAGAAATCACACATAATCATGTTAAAGTCATGAGACATAAACGTTTATTTAAACATTAATCTAATTATTTTATAATGTTAGGTTGAAGAATATCCCTAGACCAAAAATGCAAGTATGTGTTCTTGGCGACCAACAGCACTGTGATGAAGCTAAAGCTAATAATATTCCATATATGGATGCAGAAGCGCTGAAGAAACTTAACAAGAACAAAAAGCTCGTCAAGAAACTCGGTATGTTAATATGCTTTTGCATGTGTTTTAATATGAAATTGTATATTTGACCTTCCCAAAAGCACCATCATTGCTTAATATTCAAACAATGGTGGTCGTCAAGAGGAAGGAGATTAAAATTCTTCACTTGGTGAGGGTAATGTGAATCGTATCATTGCATCTCAATCCGTGTCGATACATATATTTTATTGAATAAAAATCTGTTTAAAAAATCTTTGTTTCCTTTTTACAAAGATATTCTTCTTTAAGTTTAAAATTTTCTTTAAAAAATTAAAGAAACTACCAAACTTTTAATATGAGTTATGATACTTATTGAAAATTAAAATTATATAATTTTCTTTATATTTTTTTTTTACAGCAAAAAAATATGATGCATTCTTGGCTAGCGAGTCCTTGATCAAGCAAATTCCTCGTCTTCTGGGTCCTGGTTTAAATAAAGCCGGTAAATTTCCTGGACTGTTGTCTCATCAAGAATCGATGGTCGGCAAGATTGACGAAGTCAAGGCCACCATCAAATTCCAAATGAAAAAGGTGTGTTATACTGAATAGTTTTCTGTTAAAATTTTTTCTTCAATATAAAACCTATCTTTTTATAATGATTGTTTTTGTTCTACAGGTGTTGTGTCTGTCAGTAGCCGTTGGACACGTTGAAATGACGCCTGAAGAGTTGGTGCAAAATGTCCATCTCTCAATAAACTTCCTTGTTTCTTTGTTAAAAAAACACTGGCAGAATGTGCGATCGCTTCATATTAAATCTACGATGGGGCCACCACAGAGACTGTACTAAGTTACACTTGGTACAATACATTTCGAATGTATGTTCATTGCAATAAAACTGAAAAAGAATCCAAATGATAAATTTATTTTATTTTCTTCTTTCATCATATAGATGTTCTTCAATGTTTCAAATGCGATGCTATAAATTAATTCAAATTCTTAGAACATTGATAGGATAGATACTTGTTTGTATAATCTTAGCGACATAAGAAACATATCGATAAAGCTTTGTTAACTGTATGATAGAAAGAATTGTGAATATAAAATATTTCTAAAATAATTCAAAAAATATATTATCTTTTTACGTACATAATAAGTTTTTATATTTTGAAGTGAAATCTTAATTTAATAACTCATATCGGAAAAAAACGGGTAGAAAAATTTGACAATATTATATATAAGCAGAGTTGATGAAGACTAATGTTTTTTTTCTTTTAAGAGTAAAACATTATATTTTTTCTTAAATATTTTTAATGCTTCAAATGTGCTTTAAACAGTAAAAAGAAAACATATTAAAACATTAAAAAAATTAATTAAGCATGTTTAAAACATGTTTTTTAGTCTGAAATATAAGTGATTTAGTTAATGATAAACGTATCTCATATTTTGATGTATTTTCGAGTAATTTAAGAATTCAAATTATTTTTGTTTTATCGTCTTACTGCACGGACAACATGCATGTTCAAAAGATTTCTTTCAAATATGCATGTTGCCTGAGGTACCTGCTAGAATTTGTTAAAATCCCTCGGGAGAAATATGTGATAGGTAAGGGTCTACGTGTCACGCGACAATAGGCGATAAAGGATGTAGCCGGACTCTGGATCCGGTTCATGGATACTTGTTTAGGGACCGCGTTTGTGTGTGGTTGTATATATGTGTGTGTGGTTGTATATATGTGTGTGTGGTTGTATATATGTGTGTGTGTGCGTGGGTCCTACCGAGGTCTACTAAGCTCGAACAGACACCACAGCCACGCTATTTCCAACGATCTTTGTGGGGGCAGTCCGGTGGCGGTCGCTGTGAAGAGACACATGGTTTCGAGTTCCGCTTCGTAAGCAGATGCCAACGGAGCCGAGGACCTGCGTTTACTCTTTTGCTCCCACTTTTCGCACTTTCACGCTTAGCGATCCTTGCGAAATTCTCTGGACTACACGCATTCCTTAATTTGTTTCTTCGCAGGATTTTTGGACGAGCATCGATGGAGTAAAGTATTCGGGTAAGTTCGTTGGTGATGAATGCCATGTGCTTCGAACTTCTTTTTGAGAGTCAGAGATAGTATATGGATCATCTGAGATCTTGATATACAATTATTTCATATTGGAAATACTGGAGCTTATATTTATATATCCAATATAAATATATATAAAAAATTAATATATAATTGATATATAAAATATTTTAAAGATTTATTATTTACATTTAGAATGAGATAAAAAAATGACCCGTATATATGTTGATAAGATTCAGAAGTATTTACATTAGTGGTTGAAAATAAAAGATTTTGTTTTAATTGTTAAATTGTGAGTATAATAAAATTCCAATTACTTTATAATTTTCAGAAATAAACGTATGTTTTAATTTTAACATTAACTATTATATTTTTGAAACATATTTCGAAAATAATAATGTTAAAAAAACGAGAAAATAGAAATAGAAGAAGAGATAAATGTAATTGATAAATAATGATAATACTCGCAGAAAGAATGATTTGCTGATACGCAGACCTGATTTTTATTTCTGATAAAATTGTTAGCTTCCGTAAAATATGATAAGCACATATAACTAGAGTTATATTTTACACATTTTATTATATTATGGCAATGCAAAAAAAAAAAGTAAATGAGATTAATAACCGAATCAATTATAAAGTATCAATTATAATTCATGAAAAAGAGAAAAATTCGAGTTTCTAGAATCACAAAATTATTACTGTAAATGGAAAAAGCTAGCATCTCTTAGATAGGGTACTTCTGAGAAAATTTACTTGATTCATTTGATTGCAAAAAAATCATTTAGACGATACGGAGTAGAACAAAAATAAGTGTCTCCCGTTTCTCAAATTGACGTATGATTGGCGCGACTCGACATTAGAAATTTCGCGGATTTAAACAGCAATATCGGAAAACGGAATTATCAACGCGGGATGGAAAAATCAGCAGTCGGCCTTCCCCGTGAACGATACAGAGAGAATGTAAAAAATTGACTGTGCTGTGAGGGTCGGATGGACGGCCGGCGCTTGTATTTTATTAATAAAGTGGCCGCAAAAGAGTGCACTCTTCTCAAACGAGTGGACTCTAGCTCGTTATCAGTGATATCAACTACCAGAGCGACGACAAACAGCCAACCGGGCGGAAGGCTGTCAACGAGCGCGGTTAAGTTGGGCAATGATTATCGAAAGCGCAGACAACGACGACGAATAAGTTACTGACGTTCTTTAAACAGTCAATGAGAGACCCGCGACCCGATACAGTATCGCGCACAGTATTATCGATATAAATTATCGATTCGCAATCGGTATCAAGTATTGTTCCTATATAATAATCCATCGATTGTGAAATCCTCAGTGTTGATCGAAGACAAAAGAAATGTGATGCTTTGTGAATTTTCCGGTAATTTCCGCTCCAGATTAGTGTTAATATATATATTGCAAGTTATCATACATAAATGGAATGGATGGATCGGCGACATCTATTATCATATATCGATGTATATACAATAATTGATAATGATAAAATAAGAGAATGAGATATTTGAAAATATTGCAGATTACTTTGATTCGAAGCCGATTTTTCTCGAAGTGAGTCGTTCATTTCCAGGGAAAAATAAAAATCGGATCGACATCTAATCGACGTCGATCTGATTTTTATTTCTCCCTGAAATTACAGTTTGCAATTTTTAATTATACATCTTCAATTATGTATCCTAAATTTTAAATTCAAATTTCACGGAAATAAACTTCCGTTTGCTAGCGTGCAAAAAATCCTTTTTCTTAATTACATAATTACATAAAATTACAAATTTCGAGGAAAAAAAAACCAAGATATATTCTTGAATAATGACGCACGTATACACGATCCTTCGGACGGGCGTGAAAGGAAATAGATATGACCGCTGTGCAAATCAAGGCTTTCCAAATCATTTCCGCTCTGTGTTAACTGAGGATGCGCTTTATTTTAATAGAAATCTTTAGCTCTTGCGTCAGTGATGATACTTGAAAATATTGCATTGTGACTCGCTGCAAGAGAAAATTATGCTCAAAGTCACGTAAAATTCTTAGAAGTTGAAATAGAAATACATTTTCTATATTCCCAAAATATTCATATTTATATTCATGTAATTAACATAACGTAATTAAATAATTAAATTATAACATAAATTCTAAGAATTTCGTCACTTCAGCGAATAACACGAATGTAACGAACGAATTTTTTTATTTAGCAAGACTATCGATTTTACTGATTTCTGGTTCTCGCATTAAGACGTGTAAGTTATGATATTTCACAACAATTGGGACGTGTGATCGGCTTTGCTTTGTTTGCAGCGTTCATTAGAACATGTTCCTTGAAAAACACCTGCAGATACTACTTGTTCTCGCTCTCCGCTTCCTCTGTGTTCTCTGCAACAATGACGTATCTACGTCGAGTGGGACAACAATCGTCAAGTCGACGGAATTGGATTATAATTCCGGATCGACGGAAAACCTTGGGATGATTTATGATGTTGAATCTACAAAAAATACTTTCGTGACGACGATCATAGACGACAATGAAATCACGACTTCCTACGGATTCACTGTGGAACCCCTGAATACTGTTTCCCATCTGGTCACCGATAAGACCTCGTCATCCACTGTCGATCATATTACGAAATCTGTTACTGTGCCCAATAATGTGATTTCCATCAATAGCACAATTAATAGGACGATCTGCAATTCGGAGTGGCCAGTATACACAAGCGGTAAGTAAATCGATCGTATTTGTATATTGATATAAAATCCAATTATTTAAGAGATTAAAGAATTCGCTTTAAAAATTAATATCCATTAGAAAAAGCACTAGTATATATAAAAATAGTATATATAAAAAAAAGCACTAGTATATATAAACTAGTATATATAAATGTTGAAAGCATTAGAGGAAAGAGATTATCAATGACCGTTATTAAATGTATAAAAATACTATAAAATATTATAAATATTATATAGTATGAAAACATATACATGTATTACAAGATAGAAGTGTTTGGTTTCTAAACATACGTATATTTTTACTTTATAGTATGAGAAACTTAAATTTTAGATGATAGATGTTTCACGATAAGCGAGACACGAAATATAAATTATCAAACGATAGAAAATTCAGGAAAATATATTTTCGTTCTTTTTGTAGGATTTAATAATATATCACTGATAACAAAAAGATTTCTATTTTCAAAGCTCATCTTGATAATATTCATATACCAAGTACTTTTCTTGAACCACAATCGTAAATTGAAGCTAGAAATAATATCGTAAATTACATTGATCGTCAATTTTGCATATAACGATCTATTTTGATCGAAGATAGGAATCTTTCTCTTATTTGATTTATTTTCATCGATTTTAATTTTATTTATAATTATATTAATAAATTGTTCGGAAAATGATTAGCGATTCCTTGCGGTATGTTTCATCTTGAAACTTTTTTCTGTGCATTTGTATCTTGCAATTTTGTCCTCAGTTGATACAAGGGAGGTAGTCGATTTGAAGACGAATGATATAGGCACAGAATGGATCGTTCTCTCATGGAAATCTCCATGTAAAGTGACAAATTCTTCGATAATATATTTAATCGAGATATGCGATGATAAAAAAAACTGCACGCAGACATACAACATTGACACCTGGCATAACGCTACCGATCTGGATCCATGCACGCAATATGAATTTAAAGTGAAAATTAATACCCAATACTGGAATTCTAAAGGAGTCGTTCTATCAGCTACAACGGCCAGTGAGTGTACAATTTGTTTATTGAATATAATGCCTATACTTTATCGAAACTAAAGATCCGTTAAAATGAGAAATTAACGAATATCTT